GGACTAATGTTATTAAATATTTGAAATTAGTAAAATCATTTAGCAAAAAACTGCACAAACGCAAATTGCTAGATTCATCAGGAGGTGTATTTTAAAATATTCGAGTGAGAAGGTTTTTCTGCAAATATTTGACATTTGTGGTTGCTTATTACTATTTTAAATCATGTTCTGTGATATTGAGTATGGGGTATTAATACACTGCGACGTAAACTATCTGTTTTTTGTACTCTACTGTGGGCAAAATTCATATTGCTTTTGGGAAATCCCCTAATTCGATTATGCTACACATAAAGATCGCTGTGTCGCTATATACAAAAGTGCCTTAATAGTAGTACAACACTGTAAATTAACAATTTTGATAAAGACAATACCGCGGAAAATATATAATTAATTTTAAATCAATTTATACTTTCATACATTCATAGTATTATTAGATATACGTTAATTTTGTAAAACTAAATTATCCTATTTTGATAACTTTGCTCAGATAATAAACAGACTTACTGTCTACACAAGAGCAAGGCGGACATTTTCGTAGCCCTCTTGCATGTAAAAATTCCGTATCTGAGAACTACTAGCGACGTCGCTCGATCTGACTCCGCGAATACGTGAATTGAGGGCGCTGTGGTACCTAGTTTTCTCAAGACGGAATAATAGCCAGACAAGCTCTATAATGGTTTTGATAAAATCTGATCAAAAATGGGGGTTAAAAGCTAATGAAATAAAAAAAAAAAATCATAAATCAAAAACGAAAAGGGATATCAACATGAAATTTTCAGTAAAAATCAAGCTATATAAGAAGAAAAAAAAATTATATTAAAAAGGGGGGTTAAAAAGGTTGAAATATTAAAAAAATCCTAACGAAATAAGATATCAACACAAAATTTTTATCAGAATTCAAGCTCTTTAAAGGGAAAAAGCTTTTGATTAAAAAAAAATCTAATTAAAAATGAGGTGTTTAAGGGGACCGAAGTTAAAAAAAATCATAAATTAAAAGTGAAAAGCGATATCAACTTGAAATTTTTAGTAAAAATCAAGCTCTATAAGGAAATAAAGCCTAATAATTCTGAAAAATATCTGAATAAAAATGGGGGGGATAAGAGGGGATGAAATATTGAACAAAAATCCTAACTAAGAAACGAAAAACGATACCAAATTGAAATTTTCAGGAAAACCAAGCTTTATAAGGGGATGAAACCTATTGATTCTGACAAAATCTGAATAAAAATGGGGGGGATAAGAGGGGATGAAATATTGAACAAAAATCCTAACTAAGAAACGAAAAACGATACCAAATTGAAATTTTCAGGAAAACCAAGCTTTATAAGGGGATGAAACCTATTGATTCTGACAAAATCTGAATAAAAATGGGGGTGAAGGGGGGTTGAAATATTTTAAAATATCCTAACGAAATAAGATACTAGAAATTTTTAGCAAAAAACTATAAGTGAAAAAATCCAATTTAAAATGAGTGGTTTAAGGGAGGTTGACATAAAAAAAATATAGCTCTATAGGGGGATTCTGAAAAAAATCTAGTAAAATGGAGGTTAAGGAAGTTTGTTAAATTGTGAAGAGTATAATATAGAATGTCAAGCATTATACTGTCAACTGGGGCTACTTTGTCAGGTTTTTGTGACATATTTTAATGTACGCATCTTAATTAATAGGACAATTGCTTCAAATAAATTTTAGTATACCAAATGTACTATTGCGGATCGAATGGTCAGTGAAAATTTTTATATTTTTACCTATTTAAAAAAAAAAAAAAAAAAATTAGGGTGACAATGTTACCCCGGGTCTGGGGCTACTTTGTCACCTAATGGAAATACGTTTTAAATCGTGTTCTGTTCAGTTTTGTGACAAAGTAGCCCCGGTATAAAGACATTGACGTTTTCATCCGGACACTCCAGTTGAGCAACAAAACAAGGCAATTCGTCATCTTCATTCCATAATATGTCTTCAGGTGCAACCTGCGTAACTTCCTGTGTAGGTTCTTTGTCCATTTCTTGCCCAGGCTTAAACTTTTTTCCTCTCTTGCGTTTCTTCTGTTCGTCTGATGGGCCCCGTATTTCCTTCAACATGTCGACCAGACTGGCGTCAAGAGTGCTAGAAACTTCTTCACTGGTAGGTAAAGCTCCAGGTATTTTTCTTAAAACTTCGTTTGGGTCCATGGGATGTAAGCCTGTGGTTCGAAATCCAGATTTTTGTCAACGCTTTCATTGATCTGATTCCAGAGCTTTGCAAGTAACGGGGAGAATTGTAACGGCTCTCCTTTCGCCACCATTCTAAAATTTCGCGCCACTTTCTTTTTAAGGGGGTGAAAACAGCCACATCTAGATGCTACATTAGGTGGGTCGCGTTGGCCGGGAATGGACACATATAAATATTGTTTTTTTTTGCAGCTTGTATAACGGTAGGGGCAAAATGGCTCGCTAAATTATCACCAATAACCACTGTTTGTTCTCCTGCTTCTCGTGTTGATTGAACATGCGGTAGCAGCACTTTAAAAAACCATTTTTCAAACTTTTTCATATCAAACCAGCCTGAAATTGTATTTTCGTATATGGTTCCAGGAGGACCACCTGCGCACCAATTTTCATACAAATTGCCGCTCTTGTACACCACCATTGGTGGCAATAATTGACCAGCTGCATTTCCAGCCACCATTATGCTAGTGCAAAAGGGGGAATAGTTCTGGACCCATTCAACCCTCCAGAAGTTTCTTGGTAATATTACCTTCTTAGCGTCAGGATCATCAGCTATGTTTGTTTCATCATAGTTGTATATTTTTTTAGGGTTTGTATTTAAAAGAGCGTGTTTTATATTATTAAAAAATTCTAACACATCGGCTTGGTCCACGGATGATCGCGCACGCTTTATGTTTGTACTGATAGGTTATTCTGTTTTACGAAATTGTTTATCCTCTGGATAATTGTCTTTAATTCTAAGGACCAACGACGCCAAAAGTAGTGACGTAGCTGCTGAAGATGTTGGAATTTTGATAAGCGATTAGAATTAATGTCGGCCAGGTTAACTTCTGGAATCGAAGTCATGGATCTTCCTATTAAGAAGTGAGAAGGAGTGATAGGAATTAGGTCAGAAGGATCTGAGGATAAAGGACTTAAAACCTCACACGCGCACTACTCTACCTTGTTTATCCAAGTATTTTTGAACTACTGCGCGAATATCCACTTTGGTTAATGGGAAGTCCCAGTTGGCAACTTGCCAATGCGTATTTGCAATCACCTGTTGCTCCTGCTGAGATAAAATAGTGGGGTGACCGCATTTTCTGTTAAATCTTGCAATAGATCTGTTTACAAGAGTAGACCGTGAGATTTTAAACAAAAGGCTACCTGTTTTTTAGACATGCCATTTTTGACAGCTGTCAACGCTTTTTCGACGACATCTTTCGTATAATTCTGATAATTCCGGGATACCGGCGTTTTTACATACTTTCTTACCATTGTTCTTTAGTTAGTACCTGTAACAATAGAAAAACGGTGCCGAAAAAAATAATAATAAACACGAAAAAAAAAAACAAAATAGTTCGTCCGAGGTGATAAAGTTACCCCGGAATGACAAAGTAACCCCAGTTGACGGTATATCTTCATTCTAGTTATTATTTTTCTCTTAAATGATTTTTCTTTATTCTTTTTTTTTTTTGATCCTATCCCTTTTGGTATTTCTAGTGATTTTTCTTTATATCATTAATTTTTATTTCATTTATCTTACGTCTTTGCAGACTTCTCTAGCCTTACATTTTATTAAACTAAACTACCTTAGATATTCCGAATTGTGTTTCTTTCTAGGTGCCTTTTGCTTTGGAGTTTCCTATTCCCTGTATGTTGATATTCATATCACAAAATTTTAGTATCAAAGTTGTCTTTGTTGTATGTCGAATTCAACTGGCTTTATCTGGTTTCAAACAGTTTCATTTCAAATTGTTTTATATAGTTTCCGAGTTTAATTATATTAGATTTTACTTTGACAAATAATGCAAATGAATAATTTCTCTTGAACAATTTGGCATTGGCCGTCCTGTTGCAAGTACGAGGCGAACCTCAAATGCCTGTTCCGACCGGGGTTTAATATCTCTCATAACGTAAGTAGAATTGCTAGAAATTCTAGAATATCGAAACACCTCGATGAAATTGATCGCATTAATAGTCACGATGTAAATTCGCAGCATGAGGGAAATGTTCATAACGGCCACATTTTTGGATTTAATAGGTTATAAAATTTGAGATGTGAGCATTATTTGATGATGATGCTTTACAATTAAGTATTCAGTTTATACGAAAATAATCATAATTTTAAGTCTTTAATCTTTGTTGTTTTTAAAGTATATGGAATAGTGCAGATTTGAGACGATCAACATTAAATTAAATATTACTCTATAGAATTGCAATCGACATGGAGTAATAAAGCAAAATTTTATGGGAGTTTTACAGCACAGGCGGCACAAACAAAATCAGTGATTTTAAACAGCCGGCAGTTATAAGAGTTTTACCTGTGCCGCCCGGTTTTGTGGAACGTAACAATGGGCTGCTCTTATTTTAATCCCTTTTAAGACTCTGATGGGCGCACAGTTGGGAACAGACACTTGACGGCAGATAGCGAAAAAAAAAATACATATTCTTCTTTGTTTTTTGTCTTTCATTGTTTTCCTTAGTTTTTTTCTATTTTTAATATTGGTCTATGTAAATGAATGTATGTTTAAATAGAACATTTAAAAGTTTTATCTATCAAGAAACAGAAAAATAATTTTTTTGGTCTATTCACTCAAAATTCACAAAAAATGATCATAGTTAATAAACTATAAAAAATTCAATTTTGATATTGAAGCCAGGATTGTCCTGTCTTCTGTGACGTACACGATCAAACACGGTCCTGGAAAAAAATTCCTAGAAAATTGCATGATTTCTAATCAAAAATCGAGAAATAATATTTTGATTGGTGTTTACTGATCGCTAACCAATAGTAGTTAGTAACCTTTTGAACTCCTTATCAGTAGTGTCGATTTTAAAGAGACCTTTGCCGCCAGTGAGAGCAAATGATCAGTTAGTATTAGGGAGCCACTATAGCTTGTAGTGTTTATTTTTCAATTTGTATCGCTGCCCGTCTTAAATTTGACCGGCAGAGTTTCGAAAGTAGCACTTCCGTTTTCAGTGCTAAATGGTGCGACAATGAGTTTTTTTGATAGATTCGTGGGATTGATTTTTCTCGCGGTATTTGTGGCTGCTGATTACAGTAAGTACCATACTGTTAAAATTATTTTCAATTAAGCTCTCTTGACACGTGTGTTTCAATCAAATTGCGCTCATATGAAACAAAAATTTATACCGTGAGTGCAAAGTTTAACTTAAACTTGGGTGGCTGTGTTCCAGTTTAACTTTCATTCTATATAGGTACCAGTTATTTTAAAAAATAAATTTCACTATCAAAATGAAATTTAAGATATATCAAAAAAATGTGATTGTCAGATTTATAATTAATTTTTTTTTAATTATTTAACATGTATTTAAAATATAAGAACTTCCTTTTTCTTCAAGAATTTGAATAGCCTAACTGTGAGATGCGATTTTTCTACACTTGATTTGTAATTTATAAAAATACATTGAGCTACATTTAATCAAATAGAAAAGCTTCAAACTTTGCATGTTTTTATAAATCTCCTTCTTATGCACTTCTTATGCCCGTTCTGATCTCTGATAATATAGGGTATATCCGAAAAGAAACTAAATTAAATTACCTTCTTAATTATTAATTATTTTGCAAAATTATAATATTATTTTAAAGGGTAAAAGGGTATACATTGCCAATACATTTATTAGTCTCGTATTATCGTTTACAAAGAACAAAAAGCTTTATTTGGAGAATAAATTTATTGTTTATAAGTGTATAAAATTAAAAATAATATTTCTTCTACAATCTTTAAATCTCGTATTTACCTATGTCGCATTTTAGTGTACAATTTTTAAAATACCTATTGGGTCAAAAAGGTCTATGATCTTACAAATATATGGTGCCGTAGCACCCTTTTTAATAATTTGGTGGTTTTTCATTTTCGGTTATGCTCTCTCATACCCTGGCACCCACCTCAAAGTAGCAACTTTGGTTTTTTCGCCAGTTGTTTCCCTAGACTCGTTCTATAAAAAAATTGGGAGGTTCCAGTGAAATGTAGGTCTCTGATATGCCCATGGGCGTCGTTACACAATTTATTTTATAGGAAGGGGCAAAATTTTGAAAAAATTTAGAATGTTTATTTGTTGGAAAGCAAAGAAAATGAAAAATAGAAGATAATTATCTTATGATGGATTTAATTATTCTATGACGTCATGGCTTACTTTCGGTTTTTCCAGAAATAACAGAAAATCGAAATTTATTTTTTATTTTTAAATGAAAACGCGTGTATTGAAAATTTTGACAGCTGACAAACAATTTTCAACACATGATTCTTATCCATAAATGTCTCTGAAATTCAAATTTTCAATAAAAACGGGGGTTTCTATTTAAAACTTTAAAAAATTGCGATTTTCTGTTATTTCCGATAAAACAGAAGTAAGCCATGAAGTCACACACCGATTGAATCCGGTATATAAGAGTATTTGTCCCAAGCTTTTAAAGAAATTAGTTTTCATTCCAATATCTCAAACGGTTTGCTAATTATAAAAATGCTTTGATACGCCACTGGTATACGGTAAATGGGTCTTAATGTGAATTTTGAAGCCTTAAAAGATTTTATAAAGTTCGTACATTCCTATGTTTTTCCATAAACGTATTAATAGTAACATATTTAGAAAAAATATTATCCAATATGGCGGCCATTTTGACAGCTGACAGAAAATTGTCAATACACGATTATTATACAAAAATTTCCCAGAAATTTAAATTTACAATAAAAAAGAGGGTTTCCTTTTAAAAATAAAAAAAAATCGATTTTCTGTTATTTCCGGAAAAACCGGAAGTAAACCATGCCGTCACAGAACAATTAAATCCATCATAAGAAAGTATTTTTTCCAGTCTTTCAAACACAACAAAATTATTCCGATATTTCACTGAATTGCGAAGATAAGGAGGAGTCGAACTTTTGTAGTAACCCTAACAATGTCACTGACCCATTTGACAGAAATGATACTTAAGTTATCATAACAAGTCTCTAATAAATAAAATAACCCAATAGAAAAGACAAAAACTAAAATAAAGAAAAGTAACATGTATACGTGTATTTGATACGCCAAATTACAAAATATCGCCCTAAAGTACTCGAATTATCCGCAGCTTGCGCTAGTATCGCTTTTGCTTCCTCTACCATGACTTCGTACTGATCGAATAGACCGCAGCCATCCATGTTTTAACATGCCTTAGCCTGCTAAACGTTCTTTCGATTAACTCTGTCGTTGGTGGAAGAGCCATACATATTTTTTAAACCACTCTGTATGTCTGGATAAAATTCACAATGTTTGGACGCTATATCATTAATAGAGAGCTCATTGTGTGCAGAAAGCTCTTTCGTACTCCAGTTTGGTATTCAGCTTTAAAATTGTTGATTTCAAATTCTTCCACTACTTTCATTTTCTAATCAGTAGTGAAAAAAGTATTTTTTTATGTTTTTGGGATATAACAGGCTTAAGGAAAAACTAACAGTCTTCGGAAAAGCGTGATGTAAGCGACGTAATAAGGGAATCCAGATATGCAATATATAAAGGGTGTATCTTATAGTGGTATCCGAAGTTTTTTTTAAATAATTTGAGAAACAGTGAATTTTTTGTAATAAATGTTTTTTTTTTATTGAAATTGGATCCATTACAATTTATTTGGTCATTTTTTAAAGATAACATCGGCAAAGTGGTCACCTCCGGACGCCACACATAAATCGGTCCGTTTTTCGGCATTTTCCATCACTTTTTGGAGTGTTTCGGGTTGAATGGCAGCGATTTCTCGGCGTATGTTGGCCTTAACTTGTTGGAGAGTGGCTGGTTTATCGGCATAAACCTTTTCCTTCAGGTATCCCTACAGGAAAAAGTCAGGTGCGGTCAAATCTGGTGAATGAGCCGGCCAGTCGAAATCGGCGTATTTCGATATCAATCGATTCGGGAACATGGCACGCAATAGGAGTTTTTTTGAAAATAAATTTTTACAATTTCAGCACGTTGTTGTGGTGTAAGGTGGTTCATTGTTAAAATTGTACTGGACTGACGTTTCTAAAACATTAACAAACATGGCGATCTGTCACCTGGTTGTCAAGTTATTTAACAAAAACATCGGGTACCACTATAAGATACACTCTTTATATTCAACCTATAATATTCTTCAACTATATTAGCATGAATATTATTATTTCTATGAGATTGTTGTTCGTAATGCACATCTTACGCGTTGTTGATTAAGTCGCAAATGCCAGGGAAAGGCGCCTGCGCCTCCTTGCCCCCCCGACCCAAACGACGCCCATGGATATGCCTTGTATTAGTTCGGATTGAAAAATGGAGAGAATGTTACCATTGCTGTTACCTATAACTATAGAGATAAATCCAATAATGTTGAACTTTTATTATTAAAAAAATACGTATGGAATGACCAAACTGATCTATAAAATGGTGCAGCAAAAACATTTCAGAAATGCAAATAAACTGGTTTGTAACTACCGACGCTTACGCTTGGTTTAGTTGCTAAAGCTTTTTGTTTTTATTAAGCTCTATTTAAAACTAGTCTATAATAAAAACGCGCTATTGATATCCAGTGTATTTCAGGATTGATGTTGAGGAAAAGCAATTAAAACATTCATGTAAAATATATTGGAAATTCTGCACCGAAAGCAAAGCGTGAATTTCAGCTATTTTAATCAAATTTGTTGATTAAATTTTAATCAAATGCTTCTTGTTGGTTACATTAGTCATTAATGAGGTATTAAAATTGTAAATTGGGAAATAAAAGTTGCATTTATTTAATCATTTTTTTAAACCTTTGTCATAATCCAAAATAGTTTTTTTTTCATTTCAAAGTTAATTGAATATTTAAATTGAATAAAATAATTAATTAAATTTGTAATGAAATTTCCCTTATCATCTTTCAGTTTTGTATTGCATATTTTGTAATAAAAATATTTAAGACGGGCCAGTGAGTGGCTCTGTATTATTAGTGAAAGTGGTTGTAAACATATCTGAAAATGAACCTCGATTAAATTATCTGCTCAATTTAGTTTATTGATGGTCACATGCATACGAAAATATCATAGACAGACGTATATCTTGTTGACGTTTAACTCCATACACTTTCATATTTAAATTTATAAAAAATTTATATAATTTATAAAATTTATATAATTTATAAAATTTATAAAATTTCCATGATGGATTAGTTAAGTTTCTAATTAAGCACTTATATTCTTGATATAAACAAACACTACAAACTTTTTCAATTATCTATCATTTCGTTATGAAATTATGATAAGAAAAGTTGGGAATACAATGTAAATTTTTAAAAGACCTATAATTATTCACTTTCAGAATATATTGTGGAGATATCCCCTATTCTTGTAAATCTTAAAAATCTTATCTGAGCAAATACAAATATTTTCACTCATTTCTATTTGAATTTCATATTATTTTTCCATTGTTTCGTAACACTTTTCGATATCTATTGCTTCAAGTAATTCTATTTTAGAGACAATAAAATCGACCATATGGGAATATGGTACCCAGTTGACGATAACCTTCGGGTTCTTCTAGATTTTATAATCTTCCTTCTGGTATCCTGAATAATGTTTTTAGTGGTGCTGTTATTCGTAAAGCGATGGGGTTGAAAGTGATTAGAACTGGGTCCAAGAATAATGTTGCGGCCAAAGCTGTGCTTTGAGGTACTTCTTATTTGATTTTGTAAAACATATTGCATGGATGCGTTTAAAATATAATAAGAGCCCTTTAAGGCTCCTTCTCGGGCTAATAAATCAGCCTATTCGTTGCCTTTATGTCTTTTGTGGCCTGGTAAACAGGCTAAAGTTAGTCTGTTTTGACTACCCATCTCTGTTAGGGCTTCCAAACAGTCCCACACAAGCTTTAAGTGTACCTGCATACAACTGAGTGGTTTTATCGTCGCTTGACTGAGTATATGACAATAGTTTTTTCATTTACCTTTTGTCTTAATACTTCTTTTGGGCAGTGCTATATTACTGCTATTTCTGCCTGGAATGCTATCGAATGTTTACCTAAACACAGTGAGATTCTTGTATTTAGCTTGGTACTATATATACC